AGTAGATGAGTTTTCACTATTTCTACAAGACGTTTCTTAGCGAGGGATGGCAACGGGATGGTTGAATTCCAAATCTCAAAGAGATAAATCATTTCCGAAGGTTCAAGATCTTTTAGAAATTTCTCTTCCATTGGGATTAATTGATTACGTCTATTTCGAGTACGACCGGAAACAGGAGTAGTAGCAATTGGCGATTGAGAACGAGACACTCGTGGTTGTTGAACTTGAGGAGATGTGTGGACGGTTTCGTCCGAAACGGTTGGTTGATGTTGATCGTCGATTGGAGAGATGACGAGGGTTGATTTAGCTTTTCGTCCAGGTCGCTTTTTCGGAGGCATAATAAATAGAGCTAATTTCACTTGAAGCACAGAAGAAGATCACAAAATGATAGGGATAGAATTGTAGTAGGGAAGGTAGAACACAAAAGTGGGAAGCACGGGAAAGGTGGAAAGGATCCTGCCTGGGTCGCCAATTTGTGGGGGAATTTTGATTAGATGAGACGGAACTCGAAGAGGATGAGATTGATTTTCTCGATGATCTTAGGCAAAGACTAAGTTTCAGAAGGAATCTACCCACAAATAGATATTTGAGGTTCGAAGGACCCTTTCGGTTTATTCCAATTCTTCCGTTTGGGATCTACGTTACTCACAATTCAAATCACTGAGTGATCGGAAAAGGATTGTACTAAGTTTAATTAACTTTGATTATATTTATTAAAAGAAAGAATGAAAATAACATTGAACTGGGAAAATCTGATAAGATTGAGAGAAAGAGTCGAGATGAGTTGAGACGAGTTGGATTTGTCAATTAGACAGATGAGAGTGGATTAAATTCAATTTACTCTGAATTTCTCTCATATTAACTCTTGATTAACTCTGAATTACTCTTAGTAAAACTCTTAATAAACTCTGAAGATCTTTTCAGTTGATCTTTGATTATATGGAGAAATTAAAAAGGGGGTACAAAATTAGGAGATTATAATAATAAGGATGATGATGAAAGGGGAAACAATTATTGTTGACAAAAGGGAAAATCATCATAGTGATAAGGGAGAACAATAGATTAACAATGACCAATATGTGCTTATTGTCGCGACTTGGCTAGTTAATCATACGATTAAGATAAAAGGTTAAATGATAAGCTTTATCAAGCTTAAAAGTGGAAAAACAATAGAAAGGGAAAAGAAAGAGAAAAAGACAGAGAAAAAGTTTCTCTTTCCAATTTGATCAAATTTTGATCAAATTAAGACAAAACTTGTTAACTGTGAGAGATCATCTAAATGATTAAAAGTTTAGGCTTAATCTAACGGATTAACAATGAATCATTAATTAAACGCTTTTTTAAGCATAAGAGGGTAAACAACAAAATTAAGAAATTAAAGAAAATTAAAAGAAAGAAATTAAGAAAATTAAGTTTTGGGGAAAGTTCCAAATCATGATAATGATCCGAATTGAGACTTGATGGGTTTCATGTTTTTCTACCCTTCAATATTGAACCAATTTTTTTTCTCTTCCTTTTCTCTCTTTGAATATAAGATAAATATCCAATACATTCATCATTCTAAACAGTTTTAGAACTTTTTTATTTTATTCTCTATGGAAACTTCATTTTTTTGCCTCGATTTTCAAATAGAGAGAGAAATTTTTTTTTCTTTTCTTTTGTGCTGAAGAAAATGATACACCTCCCATTGAAATATTCTATTCAATTATTATCATAACTTTTCCTTATTATGATAACATACATAAACTATGGATAAACATGTCAATAGATGAATTCGAACCTTTAATTTGCTTGAAACATTTTTTCGAAAACTTTTTTCCCTCTCAACCAATGAACTTATATACTTGAACTCAGTATGAAATTTAGCCAAAGATTAAGATAATAGAGTGAGTGTGAGAGAGAGAGAGAGAGAGAGAGAGTACAAATTAATGATAGCATAAGAGAATATTGAATTGTAATATCAGAGAATAGAATTTGTTTCAGAATTTTTTCTCACTCCAACAGGGAAAAAGGATGATCTTTTCTACTCATTTTTATCTCAATTCCCATATTCATCATCATAAAAATGTGCTTCATTCATTATTCTGATTTGACTCTGAAACATTCATTGATAACATTTCATGATATCATAGTAAATACGTTACTTTATATATTGACATTTCTATCGGTCTACTCATCATCAATAATATTATCTTCCAAAAGTCATCATCACAATGATATTTATCAACAATTTTCCATCTAATCTACCGATCAACTTTATCATGATTCAACCTGAATATCCCAACGGATCAGCTTTCCAAGCACTTGAGATAATATCTTTTAGAGCTTAAATTACATTCAGATTTAGATTGAAAATTTAAAAGTATTTCGACAATTCGATGAAATTTTATGACTTTCACAAGAGTAAAAAGAACATATTTCAAATGAACTTTACCATGAAAATTAGAGGAAAAAAAGAGATTAATAAAAATGAAAAGAATTCCTATTAAAGTATCAAATTGAGAATCAATTCATTGAGGTTCAATGGAGAAAAGTGAATCAACATGAAATTCTGAATCAAAATACATATTTTGTCCTCTCTTTTTTTCCAGAGATTTAGCAATTCTCTAACCAGAACTTATTCAAGTAAAGATTAGCACCCACTGGACTAGATGGAGTGAGAAAAATTCAGTCACACTAAATCTCTGCTCATCAACTGAATTTCAGTCCATGGAGATGGCTCAGATTTCAAGTTCATCAATCATACAATATTTATACTCTCATTTAAAAAAACGAGATTGAACATTTTCTAAATCTGTTTATTATTAATAGAATAGCAGAAAAATTCCGTCATGAGTATTATCCAGAGTTTCGACAATTGATTGACACACAATTGGGAAATTATCAGAATTACTATAAAGATCATCATAATAATAATCATCATCTAGAAACATGAAGCTCAGAGTTTCATGTAATATTATTGAGAAGTGAATTTAATCCAATAAGAATCATCAACATCAACGGTCATTATCATCACCATCATTCTAGCTTATTCAGCATTGAGAATTCCTTCAATACCTGAATAGCAAGTGGAAAATGTGAGTAAAAAGTTCAATATATATATGAGATAATCTTTGATTTCGATTATCATTATCATCATGAAATAGAAGAAGAGAAGAAAACTTTCATTCTTTACCTTGGTTTTCTCTTCATTCTTCTAACGAAATTTTCTATCTTCCTCTTTTTATCTTCCTATTTATATTATCCATTGTTACCTGTTAATAATGTACATTATCATCATCATCATCATCATCATCATAATCACAATACAGTCTCTGATATGATTGTGTGTCATCATCATGAAGATACCTGATGAAAAAGAGATGAGGATTGAACAAAAGTGCAAATTAGGTTAGTGAGAGATGATGATCAGAGAGAGAGAGAGAGAGAGAGAGATTTTTATCTCCTTCGCCTCCCTAAGTCTCTGTCTGTCTTCATTGTAATGATAATCATTCTGATGATAATCTGTATCGATTTATATTATTATTTCCCTCTGAGAATGTTTTACTTCATGGTAAACACAATTGTCTTTTCAGGTTGATAAACAATCGGTTAGTATATATAAGTGATTGAAAGTATTATTGGTTAATATCTAATCTATCACCAAGTTTATCATTTGATTTCATTGAGAGTAAAATGTAATATTTATTACGATAATAATAATAATAATAGTTTATGGTGAATAATTTCCTTCAGCATTCTGGTGAAAATAATTCTTATTTTCTCTCAAGCAATATGATGACCATGTTATTGGTCATTTCTTTTCACTCTGTTTTTATTGAGAAAGTTACACCATTTTTTTCCCTTCGATTCTATTAACTGAGAGATAATAATGGGATGAGGATAAACAATAAGGTGGAAAATAGAGTAACAAGTGGATTATAATGGAAACAGGAAGTAATAATATTCATTCAGACAATAGAATTCGTTGGTGATGAAAGAGGAAATGATCGATGAACAGAATAAGATAAAGAAATAGAAAAACAATTGAGAGATAAAAGGTAAGGTGATAATGGGGAAATTGGTAAAGATGAAAATTCTGATAAACATGAGAATTCATTAAATCTTTTACTTGATGAAACTTTTCTTCACCGGAAAAGAAAGTTTAGAACTTGAGGTAACCACCCAGTTCTAATCTTTCCTCTTCTAAAGAACTACGTGAAATACTCTACTGTGATTTCTTTCTCCATGAAAATACAGAGGAAAATAGAGAAAGAAATCAGCGAGCTTAACAGAATACGAAAAAAATTGTTCTAATAAAATTTCTAGAGAATTTTCAGTTTCGAAATAATTTGCTTCAGTAGAATAGAAAAAGAGGAAAAGAAAACTTTACCAACGATCTTCATCAATTTAATCATTTTATTATGCTAACACTGTTAAAACCATAGATTCTGATAAGCTGAGCAGATAAATCATAAACCATGAAAAATATTTACCATGAGTGTTTAGATTCACACACACAATTTGTTTTGAAACAATTAAAACACAATCAAGATTTCAAAGTGAACACTTTACAAAAAAAAACAAAGAGAACGAAAAAAAAGAGAGAGAGAGAAGAAAATTTTCCATGATTATAATCACTCAGAATGCTGGGTGAATTTCATGATGATTTCACAGAAAAATAAAGAATTGTCTCATTATCGTTAAACAGATAATGTCTTCATGAGATTGCAATAACAGGAAGAAGCAGGGAAAAAAAGTTCTGTCAGAATTTTGTATTTTCTTTTTCCTCTTCAATGTCATGATGTTTCAAAAAGTTTCAATTCATTAGGAAAGTTCAATATTTTCTCAAAGGAAAAAAGCTAAAAGTTGATGGATTTTCAAAATCTGATAACAATGAATAATAATAACTCAACTTGTTATCGTAAGCTAAAAAGGTGATGGTGTTGATCAAACGATAATAGAATCATTTCCATGAAAATGATGATGAAATTGAAAGAAGAAAAAAATTTGATTCTTACTTTGACTTGGCGGTTTCAATATCAGTTCTGGTTACTGAGAATACCCTCATTTTACATCCATACCACAGGGAATTACGAGTATTTCTCAGAAGCCATGCTAATAGAAGGGCGATTCCTCCGGTATCGTAGAGCCACCAAATATCAATAGTTCCCTTTTTCTGTGTCTTTTGAAATTGATTCACTGAATCAAGAACCTGAACTGGAATAATAGATGAACGTTTCTCCATCTCCTCGGTGGCAGCAATTTTCTGGACAAATTTGAAATTAAACTTTGAATCCTCAGGTCGAATTGTTTCCTCGTAAGGTTTTTTCTTCTCCAATGAAACGGAAGAGAAAAATTCAGAGAAATCGAAACCTTCCTGAACTCGACAGATAGCCAACGATATATGTTCATCTAGACAGTAACTATGAATTATGAAGTTTAAAAAAAGAACAGAAAAAAACGGTTTTCCAATTAGAAAAAAGAAAAAAAAACTCGAAAATTTATCAATAGAACAAAAAATAAAAATTCCAATTTGATATTTTTCATTCTCGAGTATCGTAATTGTAATCTTTCATCAGAATAGAACTTGAAACTTGATCATCAATCACATTCTCTCCAGACTGTTATTCAGAGTTTCCGATAACTTTAAAAACTTTTTTCCTACCAAAATTCAGTTTCAACGATAAAAATCAAATCATGAGAGATACTAGTATATATACAAGAATTATCAGAATTTAATTTACAAGTTATTACTTTTTATTAGTTTCTCATGTTGATATATATAAATATTCAATTATTTTTACATCTTCATCCTCCAACAACCACCAAAGCTCAACTGAGAGATCATATTAACAGGAAATTGCAAAATTATATCAGGATAAGATTTACTTTCCTCTCATGAACTTAATTGGATAATAATTTGTGTTTACCTTATTAGATATCATGTTCATTGGAATTGAATATTATTTTTTTCATGGAGAGAAGATGAGGAAAAAAATTCTGATTTCTTATTATGAGAAGAAAAATAATTTATCCTTTCACTTTTCATCTACTTCGACACGATTATTCAATTCAATTCCTATTTTCGAATGATATTATTATTATTATTATTATGAATTCACATGAAAAGATCGGTTCTTAATGTCATTTGTTTTCTTATTATAATAAATATCAGAATATGAGAGAAATCGTTAGCATTTAATTATTATTATTATTGAGCTAGAGAATCGGCAAAACTTATGAGAAGAAGAAGAAGAAAATAATAATAATAATATGAATAACTGATAATTGATCAGCTGATTTATCAGAATTTTTCAGAAGGAAAATGAAAAAGATGACAACTCATCCATTTACCATGAATAAAATGATGGAAATACTCAATTTTATTGATCCATTAATAGATTATCATTATTTTTTTCATTCTCATTCTGATAGAGTGAAAATAAAACAAAGCAACGGGTTAGAGTTTATTGTCATGATGGATTATCAATATTATCTCGATTCATATTTAGTATTTGGATAAACTTGACTATCTTTCTCTTTTTTTACTCTCTCATCATCGTCATCATCATAATCACTATCGTCTTCTTCCTCTAGCAAAGTTATTCACATATAATATGCAAGAATCATGGATTAATTTCATGCCTCCTCCTACACTCGATCCAATTTCTCTCTCGCTCTCTCTCTCAGCCTCCTACTCACTCTATTCATCTCTTGTCTGGAAGACAAAAACAAAACAGGTTATATAACTCATCTCAATAATCTTCATCATCTTTTATGATGACAAGTAAAGATGATTAGGACAAAGATAATGATGCGGATGATGAAGATGCTCCAAGTTTCCATGGAAACATTATTTTCATCATAAACTTGATCATGGTTTACATTTGATCATTTAACTTACTGAATAACATTGAAATAGTCTTGTAAATCCTTTGGATCTTTAACTTTCTCATGCCAATTACTTTTGTATCCCATCATCACGATATTTGGACTCAATTTACCAAGGCCAACAGTCTGTAAAGGTAAACATAACGGTAAAATATCAATTCATTAAAACTATCCAAAAACAAAAACAAAACTAAACATCAACAAGATTAAAAATTAATTATACATAAATATGTACAATATAAAAGTCCAACTATTCCCAATGTCCAAAGTTGTCAACAATAATACTAATAAGGAAAATAGCCTTAGGTCATTAATAATAAATCAACTTCTATCATAGTAAATTCATTTATCACAAAGTGATTTGAATTTGTACCAATGTAATTGATTATTTATCACCATTTAAGTATCACAATAATACATCAATTAATTTATCATTACCTTTCAGAACAATTTGATTGATTAGATTATTAGTTTGGACGTTTCTTTTTAATTGATTATTATAAAACTAACCTGATAATCATCATCATCATCATCACCATCATCATGGTATTAACTTTATCATGAAAGCTTTTCCAGTTAATCCAGAATGACAAAAAATTTTCTTCTTTTACTTATCATCATCATCTTCTTCATCTTCATTGTCTCTTCTAGTTTAATCTACCCTCAAGGTAATGCTGCTGCTGATAATGATGAGACTGATTAACTGAAAGAAGATTAATTCAGATGTAATATTGTGTTTCAATGATTTAATTCACTGTCAAATGATTAAAGATAATCATCAACATGATGTGAGCAGCAAAAAAAATATATTTTTCTGACATTTTGTCAACTCTATTTGCTAGAATGTATTTTCTTTACTTTTGGTAATAACAGTTGATTAATCAGCTGATTGATTTACTTTATTGAATCAACACTTACAAATTGAAACAAAATATTGCAACAAAATTTTTACAAACAATTAACAATTGTCCAAGAAATTGAATGACCATGAAATGATTAGCAATTAAGTAGTGGATAAAAAAATACACACAAAATACAAGAATGAATGAGAGAAAGTAAAGAAAAAGTAAATTTGATAAAATGATTTAGTTGATTGAAATTGATTGGGTTTAAACCCTTCAATGGTCAAGAGACAGACACAATGGACAATAGGATTGATGAAATATCTTCAAGACTTTTTTTACTTGTTAGTTTTGTTCAAAGAATTATAAATTTCTCATGAAATCTACCTCTTTGTGAATTTGAACATGAAATGAAAATATCAACAATCAACAGAAGAAAAAAACTCTAATCATTAAGTTGATCACAATCAATATTGATTGTTGTCTTGAAAGAATCAAGGAAAGAAAAACTTGAAATGAAGATAAATACAAAAAAATTGTTTCTCTTTCTCTCCCTAACCCACTTGTCTCTCTCTCACTCTCTCACTCACTCACTCACTCACTTTCCTGTGTATATTTACCACCCTGAGGATAAAACCTGAGTTTTCCTGTGATTAGCTGGTGAAATTTTACTCAAGAAAAAGTTTCTCCATGTAAACTGAACTGGTTGATCAAAAAGTGAAAAGTAAAACAAAAACTTTCTATTTACTTTCAACATTAAGATTGATTATCGGTCAATTATATAAGGTTAAATTGTAAGAGATTTAAATCATTAATCTAATCTTAATCTCTCTTGTGAGTTATTTTAAAGATTCTCTGAAAGAACTTTTCTTAACCTTTTCAATAGGGAACACTGAAGATAGATACAGACAGCGAAGGGAAAATAAAGGAAGAGAATTGATATGTTGGTGTGAAAATGGACAAAGCGTTAAATTGACCTTGTCAAAGGGTAAAAAGAATAAAGTCAAAAAAAAAATCAGAGAAAAGAATCGAAAGAAGAAAAGTTCTTACTGGAATCATTCGTTGGCAACCATCGAGTAGATTTTCACCTTCACTTAGAACATAAAATGCTTTAACTTTTCTCATTCGAAGCCAAACTTTTTGTGCTGCATTTGCCTTCTTACGAGTCTCAAAGGATATTGGACCTCTTTTAATGTGACCCAAGAAAAGCATACCATAATCACGGGTCAATGAAGCGGCCATATCGATAAGTGCAGGTCGAGCAGAGGGATTACCTGTTAGTAGTAAAATATTGGGACGATAGTTTTTAACATGCTCTTCAGCCCAATACATTTTCATTGCTGACCCATGGGCAAGGTTAAATAGTTGAGCTTCTGAGGTTGTTCCCCAGTTAACATTAATCTCTGTCTTTGAAATGTACAACCAAATGATTAGCATTAAAATTAACGCTGCAAGAGCGGAAACCCAGTCAAGTAGAAACATTAACAGGAAGCAAAGTGCCGCTGAGATAAATGAGACCCATTTATTGAAATATTTGAATGCAGGTCGAAATGAGGGTGTCTTGACCCATGCAGCATGGAAACAGGTAATGTTGACCAGGAAAAATGAGATCAGGTAAAAGTTTGAAATGTAGGGAGCAATCAGGTTAAGATTACCTATGGCGGTGAAAATACCGGCAACGACAAAGGTTAAAAGGTAACCTCGACGTGGATCATTTGATGGACCATAACCTTTGGCAAACCAAGAGATACCCGGTATTAGGCCATCTTCGGCAAATGATTGGAAGATTCTTGGTGCAGCCATGTAACAACCAAGAGCGGAGGAAAGGGAAGCGGCCAATATACCGATATAGATGAATGGTTCAATTTCAAGGCCAACATGTGATAAACCAGAGGAAAGAGCAACCGTATTGTAATCATTGATTAAACCAAAGGGACAAGCTGATGAATCGTCACAAGCGGTAATATTGGTAAACGGGTAGCCGATTATGTTTCCAGTTGAATAAGAGACCACTGTCCATCCAAGGATTATGATAAACAGAGCATAGGTACCAGAGGTGGCAAAGATTGAATAAAAGGTTCCCTTTGGTATTGCACCGGCGGGATCACGAAGATCACCTGACATACAGGCACCGGTAAAAATTGGTGTTACCGAAGGGAAAAATACACCGAATACAGTGAAAAAACCTTCACCCGCTATAAATTTAGGCCACATATTGGACATTGCAACCTCATTACTCCAACCAATGAAACCTTTTGCTTGCTGGTCAATTGTTGGCGGTAAAATGACCCCAACAATATAGTCAAATATGCAAATGACCAAAAGAATTAGGAAAAATGTTTGGGTCTATTGAGAGAAACAGAAAAAATGAAATATTAATATTAGATAATTATTGAGAAAAATTCTCATTATTATCGTGTAATCAATGAAAGAAAATTGATAATGACCAATACTCAATAGAATTTGAATCAATTATTACAACTAATCATCTTCTTTATTGGCGAAAATCATTAAAAGTAAATCAATTTTAAAATTGCAAAACAGTCACCAGATAATTCAGTTCTCAGTTTCAACAGATTATGATATAAATCATCCTTGTAACTCAGGAGAGATAATTAAATGCTGAGAATAATAATAGGTAAGCAAAAAAAAGAAGAAAAGAAGAGAAAGGAAAAATTCTGAATCAGAATTTTCATCGCTTAACTTTCTCTTCCTTTCCCATGTGTTCAGCAAATTTCATTACTCTTTCATCATATCATGTTAATCCTTAGAGATGAAAGTGAAAATTTTCATCAATTTCATGAGTAAATTGGTAAGCTTTACATGGTAAAGTTTGAGGAAGAAAAAAGTTCCGAGCCAATTATTAATATTCTGAAGGAAAACATGATCAAATTTATGAGATTCATAAATCAGTGTTTAAACAATAATATCAGATTTTGATTGAAATTTCGTTGAAACGTTTAATTCAATTTCCGGTTGGTACATTTTCATGTTACCATCATGATCAAGATTCAGATAACACTGAACTTTTGTTTAATTTTACTTCTCTCTCTCTCTCTTCCTTTGCTTGTTTTTCATTCATCATCTTAATCTTTCAACCTGTGATTTATTCATGAACCTCAGAACTTTAGATTATCATGACAAACATTATCATGGAAATCAGTAACATGATGATTGAGTAACAGTTATCAAACACATCAATTCATATATTAAATTAACAAAAAAAAAGTATCATGATGAACAAAAATACATCAACTAATAGAATATTCATGGTGATGATGATAAAATAAAAGGTTGCTGAGTCTTGATTACATGATGAACAACAATCATGAATGAAATTCATTCCAGGATGAAATTCATTGCGTGGATGAAACATATTACTCTTGACTCGTTTTTCTTAATCTCTCTCCTCATCATTCATTGTATGAATTGAGAAAATTTTCTTCAGAATTTTCATCACAAACAAAGGAAAAATTTTCTCTTTGCAAGTTATCACTTTTTTTCAAGAGAAAATAAGTTCTCTTTCCAGTTCGTTTATTGTTCCAATGTTGATTATCCACATCAACACCTTCATCTCTCCCACTTTTCTTCCTCATCTTCATCTTCATCTTCATCGTAATCTTATTCATTCATATTCTATTTCATCATTTATCTTGTTTACCTTTCATCTATTCCTCATATTTCTGCTCAATTATCTTCATCCGTTTGTCTTTTTATCTTATTTTACCATTCTCATCATTCTGTCATCATCATGATTTACTCTGAATCGTTATGTCAAAAATGTTCACTTACTCTCTCAAAAAAATTTACAGTTACAACGATTGACTTTGAAAAGACAAATAGAAACAGATAGAAAGTGATTCTTGAATGATGATGATATCATATTATTATTATAAACATTTTCATCTTCTTCTTGACATTCAAAATGATGATGATGATGGTCAAAGATGATACTGGTCAGTCAATTTTATTTTTTCTTCTAAACTCAATTTCGTTATTCATGTACATTTAGATTGAAGGAAAAATAGAAAACTTTTTTCTAAATCTTATTAAGGTGTTTATTTGCTGACCATCATCACTTTTGACCTTTCCAATTTTTAGATTCATCTTTCATTTCCATCATCAGTCATTGTTTGTATCAGAAATTGTTCTTTGAATTGATTTTTTCACATAAATAACATTGCAATCAACAAGAACAAGATGAAAAGTTCATTGAAAATTTCAACGAAACCTCATGAAAGCAAAGGAAAAATCAATGAAAACCATTAGATTTATTCATTAGTATTGTTAAATAAGCACATTGATACTCTAACTCTGAATCTTTGAACTTTATCCTGACAATCGTTCCTTTAATTTCAGGGTAATTCTGTCAATTCTTTATATGCTTCCTGTTTTCTTTCTCACAATTTTTCCCTTTTCTTATTTTCGAATCCTTTTTTTTAATTTCCACCAGCAACATTACGATGAAAATGGCAAATGATACTTTTCAAAGTTTTCTTCAGCCTCTTATCATCATCATCATCATCATGTTACACTCCACCTATTCTTAGCATCATATACCTTTGATTTCCCTACTTCTGTTGATAAAATCACCAAAGTACAAAATGTCCAGTCCAATTCATCTCTTTAGATGGACACACGGAGATGAGAAAAAAAATTCCAAAAGTTCATTTTATTAGAATCTGATATAATTTCGATTACTGATTTCTCAAAGTTGTCATCTTAATGATCATCTGAACTAATACAATTGACTGGACATTATCATCATCATCATGAATGGTCATCATCAGTATCGATTCTCACATCTCTCTCTGACTTTCGGACAATCAGAAACAATTTACTAAATTTTACCGACAATAATCATGTAATATTGAGTAAATGATGAAAACCTCATTAACTTATCAATCTAAATCGGATACGAAACGTTATTCAGATTGAATCTAGTGATTTAATGGTCAAATCATCATTAAAATCATGATCATGATAATAATTTCATTGATCTTTAATGGTGTAAAAATGAACAAACAACAATAAAAAACATTGCAGATAATAAAGAAAGAAGAAGAAGTAAAAAAAATTGTCCGGAAAATGAAAAGTTCTGAAAACATTATTACATGATCATCATCATGGGTAACATATAATATATTGAAACTGATGAACTTTTCATTTACTTGAGTAAACAAGTAAACACAATAAGCCACATAAAACCAACAACAACAACAACAACAAACCCAACCCTAAATTGGCTGATGTTCATTTCAAGTGTCAGATGAATCAAGTTTCCTGAATACGATAATGTTAATGGTTAATAATCATCATGTAGTATTACCTCACTGAATGTGAATTATCATGCAATAAAATAGTAAACATCATCAACCATCATCATCTGTAGTGAGCACATATTGTGATACATTGTGTTGGTTGTGTATTTATGTGTGAGTATGTGTGTATGTGTGTTGAGTGCATGTTGTCTGGGAGGGTATTAAAGATTCCTGTGTGTGTACTCAACAGTTTATCATGGAATAGTCTCTGAAACATTATCAGAAATCAAATGAATAAAAAAGGAGAAAGTGAAAGAAAAACAGATTGAGAAGATAAAAATAAATATCCATGTTGCTTCATGAACTTTTCTCTGCTCCGTTCTCACTTTCTCTACCTTCATGGTTACTCAGATAAAAGTATTTCCAGTAATAATAATCATGCATGATAATGTGATTCAATATCTTTCGATAAATTTCAATATTCCAAAGGAAAAAAGAAGGTAAAAATCCATTAAATGTATCAATTTCATTCAGAATAATTTTCTTCATTATTCAATATCCATTTCATTGCTTATGGATCATAAATTGAACAGTATTTTCATGACGATCATCATGAAATAAAACTACAATAGTTATTACTAAATTGAGAGCAGAAAAATTTCCAACAAAAATTTCAACGTTAACTTTATATGTACATGGAATTTGAGTTTCATATTCATGAATATCATGTAGTAGATCATCATGAAATAAATATAACTTTGACTTTCTCATCTAATGATTAGTATTGTATAATGATTACATGGAAGGTTGGACATGAAAAGAAAACGGTCAAGAATTATCTCTAGCATTTTCGAATTGAATTTTTCATTCATCATGAATCTAACAATCTCATCAGCATTTTCATGGAAAATTATTATTATCGTTTTATTTTTCTTCTTCTTCTTTTCCTTTCTACCTTTTCATTATCATCCCAGAATTCAGGTTACAGGTTTAAATTTTCATTTCTCTCTCCTTTCAATTAACTCGGCAACTGTGAATTCTACATGGTAATAAGTTAACATGATTTCCAGGGAATGAATAGGAAAAAAATTCATCTAAATTATTCATAAAATTCATTTCAACATCTATTCAGTTATTACTTTCAACTGTTACAATTATTTAGCTGGTTGACCTAAACTGAATATCATTTACCGATATACATAATGTTCAGGGGAATCTCATTATCTCATGCTCATGATAATCTTGAGAAAAAAAAAGAAGAAAAAAAAATTCTCACAACTATTATTGAATTATCAGTATGTTTACTTGTTACTCGGTTGATTCAGATTCTTTCCCATGATAGGATCCACAGAATTTATACATTTTCCTTAACTCATCATGGAAACTTAAACACTTAGTGTAATACGAATTCATAATAATACGTATAAAGAAAATTCATTTCAGAATAGTAACAAAAACATCATGAAACTTTTTTGGAACAAAGAAAAAAATTTTCATTTCAATTATCCAGTATAATTAATAATCTTCATCATTATCAATATTGATAGTGAACAAGTCTCAGAATTGATAGCAAGAGATAACTATTAATATTATTAGCTAATTTGTTCAAACATCTCTCTGATTATATCTCATATGTATCAACCTCATTGAACTTGTACTTACCTGTAAATGAATACAGGTAAATATCATCACTTATGATAAATATAAATACTTGAGGTTCATCATATCGGATAAAAATCAAATTCTGATCATAAGTTAATAAACTTTTTTTTTCTTGCTCTCTCTCTCTCACTTGTTATTGATTGATTGAAGTAAAAGTTATTACCTGTAAGTATTTATTATCATTACTAAGCTTAGTTAATTAAATTATGTGACTCGATTGATATTATCTGATTGATTATCTTTACCTGTGTCAAATTGTATTTACATCATTAAGTTGATTAAACACTCGCACTTGAAATTGAACACAATTAACTCTTGAAGGTGTCAAAGTGAAAATTGAATCATGGCTTTCAATTAATAATCATTGTGGTGAATACAGGGTGAAAAGTTCAGTTGATTTCATGGTGAAATCAGTGAGGAAATTGAGAAAAAAAAATTCATTATCATTAATATTGTTCATCTTTTTATAGCAAAAATTGATGATATTATTATTCAGGTGACTATTTACCCTCAGGGGTTAATATAATAATTCTTGATATTAATAATATTTTGTTAGATTTCAAGTTGAGATGATTATTCAGATGAATCAACAGTTTCTACGATAATTTAATAATCACAACCAAGATAAAACCAATAATCAAATTGAGTTAATCAGATTAGTTTATATTCAATCAACAATCAGATAGGAAATTAACAGTCTTCAAATTTGATTGGAAAAACTTTACCTCAAATTTAAATTCAATCAATTGTAACTCAATTTGATTTACTTGATTGAAGTTTAAACTTGATTAACTTGATTTCATTTGATTATTTAATAGAAACGTTGTTAAAGTAATAATATTAACAATCAACAACAAAGTATTAATATCAAGTAGCATTTTGTTTTAATTAACAATTGAACAAAAATGCTCTAATTGTTTTCCATCATCGTTTTAATCAACAAGTTAATTAGTCAACTGTAGATTTCAATTCAACCAGAATAAAAGTTTAATTGTTACATTTTAATCAAGAATCAAAAGTGACAATTTAAATTACTGAAAATCAAACATATTGAGGCGGAAAAAAAACAGAAATGCTCACAATCAAGTTGATTGATTGTCTACAAATCAATTTGTTATAATCAGATTAATGATTTAGTCTCATGAACTGATCTGATTTTGACCCTGAAAAGTTACATCTCAAAGTGATTGATAAAATATGAATACAATGATAATCAAAATAAATCCAATTTCCCAAAGAAAATGTTTCCATCATGAATTCATATGAGCAATTTATTCATAATACTAACAATAAATGATTCCCATTGAAGATCAACAGAATCATCGTTTTCATGATAACTTTCATGTTGTTAGTAACACTGAATATAAACTAACAATCTGAACAAATCAACTCAACTCATGAATGTTATTATTAACCTGATTGATTGATTATCATCAATTCAATTGTGGTAATTGAGTGAGCAAAAGATAAACCAAATCATGAGAGAGAGAGAGAGAGAGAGAGAGAGAGAGAGATAAGGCTTTTGCTCTCTCTTTCTCTCTCTTGTCTCGTCTCCATCAATGTATTAATAAAGATACAGAGAAACTTTGATATTCATTCAATGACGATAATCATGATAATCAGTTACTATATATTAATGAATTAAATAAAATTGATTAATAATTTAAATCCCATAATTCATTGATAATCATCATCATTCATGATAAACTGAATTAGAAAGAAAAAAATTTGAATCAATAATTAATTCTGTGACAATCTTTTAGTTACATTGAAAATCCTTGATCTAAAATTCATGTCAGATAATTAATCACCATTGGAATTAAAATCTTAATCATCCTATGTTATTTTATTAATCAAACTCCCAAACGATAATAATCATGATAATGTCCTTATTACCCTGACATGAATATAATAGATTAACAGATTGATTGGTTTTAATTAATTTAATTATCAACAAAACATATTAGATGAGATTCTGTTTTTCTTAATCCAAGGATTTAATATTGTTAATACAAATCACCAAACACACAGAGAGTTGATTAAATCAACTAATATTTCAATCAAAAAACAGATTAGGTTCTTAACTGTTATCCGATAATTTCCCATGAGTATCGATCATTCAATTCAATTGATTAATAATAATAATTGTTAGTTAATTAATTTTCTTCTTACCTTGGCTTCAAATGATAACGAAATCATCGGTATAATTGCAATTAGAACCAAAAATATTAGACCAACTAATCTGACATCATTATCACAATGAGGTACTGAGATTATGCCAATATCGAAATGCTATTTTTGAGATTAACAATTAAAAGAGATTAGATATTAGTTGATATGATTAAAAAATTTCAGTAATTGAGAATTGATTGTGATCATCTTTTATTAGATAAGATTAGATTAGCAACAGTAAAGATTAACTTTCAGTGTAACATCAATTCCGGTTCCGGTTTACATTTAGTGAAAAGTATTTATTGATTTTGATTAAAGGTGGAAATTTTTTCTTTTTTACTTTTATCGATACAAATTGAATACTTTAAATGAACTATCGGAATTGATCAGATTTTCATGAGAAATTGACTGATTTATGAGACTGAAGGTCTAACGTCTTAGTGGATAAACACATTGGGAAAAATTTTCTCAAGATGATAAAAGAGATGAATGGATAAGGAGATTGGAGATGATAAAAGGATAGAGGATCATGAGAGTGAGAGAGAGAGAGATATGATTTTGTTGATGGTCAGTATTGAACTTACATCAAATATTTGGACAACAGCTTCAGCAGCACCGATCAAATTTAATCCAACAAAAGCTGCATTGGTCAAGGCAAATATAACCCCGATCATTGCTCCTGCTTCTGGACCAAGGCTACGAGATATCATTGAGTAGATTCCACCTTAAATGTGTTGGTCAGTTTATTTCATTTTTTGAATTAAATAAAAGGAAAAGAATAGAAAAAGATTGATTGAAATTTCCTTTGCTGTTTGAAATTCAATTTCTAAAATTTACCTGCTCCAATATCTCCATTGGTACAGAGAGCATTCATTGACAGGGTAGTCAAACATGTAATCGCCGTTGAAATGAATATTTGTAAGAGTGCAACAACTAAAAGAAGAAGAGAGGAAAAGAAAAGAAAAGAAAAGAAAAGAAAAGAACAATTAACAATTGAAATAATTGGTAATAAATTGATATTCGAAAATGAATAGAGGATAAAACAATTTCGATCAAGAAAAGTTCTAAAGATTTTTATTTAAATTCTTGGAAATGATTGTGAAATTCATCTTAATGTTTCACTCGAAACGTTCAATCCGAAAATTCCCTTTTCCATTCAGCTGGTAGCTAAACTATTGTATGATTAACTTCATATTAATTGATCAAGATAGTTAACTAATCACTTGAGACTTATACAATTTGTAGCAACAATTAACAACCACCAAGAGCTATTAACAATAAATAATATAACAATTCAATTGATTGATTGTAGTGGCGCGAAAAAAAATTTACCAGATTTGAAGTTTCATCAGTAAATGTAATCATCTTTGATTTGCACAATTATAATGATGATCAAATTGATTTCAAATGATTTAAATTGTACAATTAACGTGAATAAGTGAGTGAGTTAGTGCCTGTGTGTGAGAGGGAGAGTAAAATGAGCAAGAGTAAAAATGTTTTCTTTTCCGGGAAAATTGTTTTCCTTCAATTGTGACAACTAATTGTCAACAATTGAACCTCTTCATGATTATTATGTGTTATTATCTTAAGTGAATCTTTCATATGAGGCTCTTAATGATTCAAGCACTTCAACATCACCAAAGTGCCTCTCCTCCTCCCGATTTCACACTCAATCTCCACCCCACCCTCGCAATTTAATCACCCTGTTCATTGTGTATCTCTTCATTATCATCTTCAATTCATTTTTCCATGTTAAACATGGAAAAATTTTACTTTTCTCTCATCCTTTTTTTAACATAAAACTTTTTCGCCGGAAAAACATTCAGTTCTCACCCTGACACTTGATTAGTAGGACACTCGATTTTATCACCATGAAAGAGAGAAAAAAAAAGATTACATTGGATAATAAATCACTTTCATCTTAGCATTTTCCATCCTCTTACATTTTTATAGTTTTCTTTCATGATGATGATGATGAAAATTCATATATTATATTGTAAAAGTAAGAAGAAAATATTATGAAGAAAAAACAAAATTCTGATTTATCAAGTTTATCTATCAATATTCAATGAATCCAGGATTCAAATTACATGGTAGATAAACTTTTTTTTCTCAGTTTATAAACCACCAAAGATTCAGCATACAAAAGATTCAGAACTTTTCAATCTTATCCCCTGAAAATTTACTGAAGAAAAAATTTTCTCCCCTTCAATCATTTACATGAACATAAAAGATTTAAAATAATCTTTAATGATCATCATTTAAACTCATCGATTTCATTAACTTCATTGACAAACATTCACATGTACACATATACAATAGTATTATCATGAAATTTACTCAACTAGGAAATTCATCATGATGCTTTTGTTATTTTCATTCATGAAAAAAGATGATCGGATGTGTATCATGAACGATAACAAAAGGAAAAACAATGATTAATTCAATCAATTTAACGGAAATTACACTGAATTATCAGAACAAAATTTTCGAGTAAAGAAAATAAGTTACAAAAGATTGACACTCATCATGTATTTCTATGGGTAATTAACTAATTATTCATTCAAAACTTTTTTACTTAAAATCAACAAATGAGCTCATCTATTGTTCATAATTTACCATGAGATAGTAAAAATAATAAATAAACCATTTCATTCATCATTATCATTATTCATCTGAATTTTAAGTTCATTCAGAACTTTTGTTTTTTTTTCAATTTCAAATCTAAAAGTAAAACTTTTCCTTTCCTGTTGATGTATTAGTTTAATTTCATCATCAAGATCATGTTCAAGTTTAATGTCACTATTTTCATGTTGAAAAAGAAACAAAGTTAAAATTGAGAGAGGAAAAAATTCTGAAACTCTGATTACTGAAATTTTTGCATGGTAAAAATGTGAATACAATGTTACACTTAGAAACTCAGTGAGCTGAGATAGAGGAAAAATAATCGGTGGCAGTGGGAAGAGGACACTCTCATAAGCCAGAGAGGCAGGGAGAGAGTGAGAGAGTGAAAATGACAAAGTTTTCATTCATTTTTCATTGAACATCATGAAAACGAAACCATGAAAACAATTAGTAATCATCATCATCATCACCATCATGACGATATTCATCATCAATCAACGGTAAACAATCATGATAATGAAATTAAACTCTCACGTTTAGTTGATTAACACGATCAACAATCAACTGTATATGTATGTATGTCACTAATTAATGAACGGCAATAACAACAATCAAAAATATACATTGAAAAACAAAATCCATAAGTAAACAATTAATTTTAATTAACCTTGAGTAAAGATGATTGAAGTTAATTAACTTTCAATATATATATTAATAAATCATAGTACTCAATATACAGTATCATCAATGAATATTAATTATTGATCAACAATTAGTAAATTGTTTGTTTAAGCAAAAATAAAACACTTTTCAATTACAATTCATACAAAGATTTGGGTCACCTATTCAAACAACATTGACAATCAAAGTCTTCACCTAACAATTTATAAATTGTAAACAATTAAATATGTATACAAAGGCACACTTCAATATCCAACAATTTGTAAACAATTAAATTGGTAAAAATTTGTTTGTATTAGATTAACAATCAGCTGAACAATTTAAATTGCTAAGGATAATTTAAGTTGCAATTGTAATTTTAATTTCATCTGATCAAATGTGAAAGAAAAAAAAATTTACTTTCTAATCAGATTAAAGTTTCAAGTTTAACAACTAATTAGTTAATTACTATTTGAAATGTCAACTAATTAACTTTGGCGATGGTGAAGAAAAAAAAACCAATTGAATGTTGTTAATTAAATCAACTAACAGTGTTGACTGATTTTGAAAATACTGTATCATAATTGTTAATAAAAGTTTATGGTTTTCATGATAAGATTCATAGATTTACCATGAAAAAATTTACGATAATAATATTGGATAAGATTGAGAATGAAAAAAAATGGATCAAGAATTTTGATTAAAAGATTCATCATGAAGATAATCATCATCATCATCATCTCTCTCTCTTGTTGCCTGTCAGTTTCATCTACATGGTGATAATGATGCTGAATAATTCTGTCTTCTGAATGGAAATTTTTTTTTCTCTTTCCAAATGATTTAAGTTCCCAAGGATTAACATTGATTGATGTTGATCACTTTTCATCCTTACTAATAATCTAATAATCATCAGTTTCTCTTGATTAAAAACTTATTGATTAATTAACATTTTGATTCATAAATTTATTACCATGAAAAACATGATGAAAGGGAAGGAAATATTAAACGAGAGAGAGAGAAAATTCTTCCCAGAGTTTTTGATAACGATTCTGATCATCATGAAGTCGATGGAAAAATAATAAAAACTAAAGTGAAAGAATTTTCCGAAAAATTCAGATTCCAACTTTTATTTATCTTTTCTCTCTCTCTCTCTTTCCCATGCTAATTATAATTCACCTAGATGATTATTCTGATTGCATATTAGTAGTAATAGTTAATTAATTATACATTTTCAATCATAAGTGTTTTCCATGTTAATTGTATGTGAGTATTTGAGTCTAATAGATGCATGAGGGGAAAAAAGTTCAATATGATTGATTGGAGAGAATCTGAATTCAGTTTCAGATTCCCATGATGAGAAAGAGCGAGAAAGAGATAAAATCAATGAGTCAGAAGATCCTAATGAATTAATAATAATCTTCTAATTTCATTTCTAATTAATGAGTTTATAATTAGTTTAGTTTTCTGGTTTCACTCGAAGGTTCAACGGTGGTAAATATCAACGGTGGGTGGATTGGAGTAGGTGGGGGATTGGAAGCGGGTCTAAGATGTTAATTAATTATAATGGTTGAGAGATCCTCTGGAAAACAATCCGAATAATTAATTGATTGTTTTTATCCCAATTACAAATTTCATTTTGAATTAAATAACATTTTAAATCTCATCTTCTTTTCTCTCTCTCTCTCTCTATCTTCAAGATTAATTGCAGATTAAGTTGCGATTAAATTAGATTAAACTGGATTAACTCAGTAGGATAATGATGATTATATAGTTAATAATAATTAGATTGATTAATAGGAAAACTTAATTGTAATAATTAGTTAAATTAGCGTAGAGAATACAAATTATATCTCATCAATTGTTTTAATTCAAGAGATTTAATTATAAAATATAATTTGATTTCGAATTGTTTTTTCTTCTTTCTGAGTTAGAACTTTTCGAAATTGATTCAATTTTGTATTAAATGAGATTTCAAATGTGAAATACTTACCGATCCCCGCTCTTCCGGTCATCCATCCCATTCGTAGAAACAACATAACTCCAAGAAGATTGACCGTTGTCCGAACGAAAACACCTTCGAACCAGCCGAACTTGACCGCTGCCAATCCTGGTGTTTGTTGAACTTTAGCTGGACCAATTTCGGTTGTTGACCAGGTCGTAATATCGTTGGGTTGACCATTTTTGGTGAATGAATGTTCAGTATTGATAGTTAACTAAAGTTAATCAAAAAAAGAGCAAAAAAAATTCAGTTAATTATAATCAAAGTATTTCCACCATAATCAGTATCACTCATCTCTCTCTCTCTCACTCGCTCGATTAGTAAAGATATTATTACAATAGATGAAGAGAACTGAGAAAGTTTCAATTTGATGATATTCATTACAATCGATACAATGACCTGTCAACTTCAGGCATTTGACCTACTTTCAACATCTTCCCACCTATCAGACTAGTTTTCCACTTCCTTTTCTTTCACAACATGAAATTTAAGAAAAACTCTTTGTGAATTCAGTTATTTACATGAATATATCATCATCATGATGAGAATCAGGATAAAAATTGGATTATAAACAGAATCCGGAATCGCCAGTAGAGTGTAAATAAGTAAAAGAAAGAGACTAAGAAAGATAAAAAAAAGTCTTAAAGGCAACAACATGATAATAATAACCTGATATAATCAATCATCAGGGTAAATTGTGAACGATATTCATGATGATAATAATAACAATATTATCTCAATGATAATCTATTCCAAGCTCAACTTTTATTATCTTACATTTTTTTTTTACTCCAAAGATTATGAAAATTTCACTAGACAATAATAAGCATATTCATGATGATCGATTAATGATTCATTTCCCTGTTTGTATGAATACCTATTAATTCAGATTTAAGTGAACAATAATACCCATGAACTTGATGAGAAAATAAATATTGAAATTTCAATTGTCTTTTAATTGAGAGTATGTGATTGAAATGAAACAAATTGAAAATTGATTAACAATTAACTCAATGACTATCTCTATGACTAATTACTTTGTCTGTCAATCTTTCTGGTTATCACCATAAATCACCATGTAACTGAACAAATTTCAAACTTTAACTTGATGATAATCAGTGTAACATTGGTATATATAAAATACTCATGCGAGGATGACAAGAGATGATAAAACGATTTTCTGTCTCAATGAAATATTATCGTTGTCATCGTGGATATTAATACAAATTTAACCATCAACCTGATGATGATGATGATGATGATGATGATGATGATAATCGTCAACAAGGTAAATGAGCAAAGAACCAGAATGAAAAAACTAATACATATTCTGTTGATGGTCATTGATAAATTATAATGAGTAGTAGTATCTAAGTAATATCATGATGATGATGATGATGGATGAGGATGATTATCATCATAATCAAGTCCAAACTAGAGTATTAGTATTTACAATATATTATTACAAGGGGAAAGTTATCATTTGGAAGTTTTCATTTTCTCTCAATAACCAGAATTTTATAGAGAGAAAATTTTCTGACAAAAAAGGATATTGATAGACAATGAATCGATATTAATAATGGAATCGGAAGTTACGATGATGATGATGAGTAAAGTCAAGGTGATAATTGAAAGGAAAGAAAAGAAAAAGATTCTTCCATTGATTTTGACAGGTAAATGAATAGATCTGATTATCTTTCTATCAATAGTTTCCATTGATTTCTAATTCTCAATAAATATCAAGGTAAATATCATTCAGCATCACACGATCATCATATATATAAGATATGACGATGAAGATGAAGATGATAACATTATCTTCATCTTCATCATATTGATGAACATGAGAAGGTGTTAAAATGACTTTATCATGTATCTCCCAACCATGGACCATGATATTAATTTCATTGAAACATGACATTTTTCCCCCTGTGGTTAATTATCATTATTTATTGTTTCCATCATTAAAGTAAAATTTATCATCAACAGCATCATCATGATATTGATAATGATGTAGTCATGATAAAATCATTGGGAGGAAAACAAAGGTTACCATGAAAATTGACACAAAAAAAATTGATAATCATTATTATTATCATTACGATGATAGGAAATATGGTTCAATTAATTAATTAATATCTATTTATGTTGTTACGCTGATGAAGATTAATTAAAGATTAATGATCATTAAAATGAATGGATATGCTACTATTATCTAATAACATGTTCGAGAGAGAGAGAGAGAGAAACTTTCAATCAGAACTTTTCAGTTTTCGAAACTCGATCAGAATTTAAAAGTTTATAAAAGTTGGCGAAATTATATTTTTCGATCATATCAACTTGTATTAGTGTTATTAATACCAACAATTTGTTTCAAATTTTCCGTGTTTCAAGTAAAATGATCAAATCGTAAAAGATAATCATCATTATCATCTAATTACCATGAAAGTTGCTTCATCAATGGAAAAGAAAAAAGTTATTACTAGTAAACATGGAAAACCGGAAATGTTGCCTTATTAAATTTCCCCAATTCTGAACAATAATTACACTCAAGTAAGGAGGTGATGATAATAATAGTAAATATGTAACAATCATCGTCATCACCATCATGTTAGATTAAATTATGAATGAAATGATGAACCATATACACTTATTAATATATCAATTTGTTTGGTGGGTGAAAGTGGGTGAAAGTGAAATGACATTATTATTATTGTCACTATTATAATCGTCATCATTGCGATGACAATAAATAATATAAGACAAACTTTACTATTGTAGATTTGAATAAATCTGTCATGCTAATTGGAAATAACTATAACCATCATCATGATAATTACCATGTAAAAGCATTTGAAATGATGAAATAAAGAGAGAGAGAGAGAGAGAGAGAGAGAGAGAGAGAGAGAGAGAGAGAGAGAGAGATAAAGACTGAGTAAGAAAAAAGTTTTTCTTATAATAATTACATTAATATGAACCTCGAAGTTGAAGGAATTGTCTTTTTTTCAATATCTCTGAACTATCTTGAACTTTTTCTTCTTCTTCAACATGATGAAAGATACATCCTCTTATCTTCATCCTTTTAATATCTTTGTTTATCACTTCCGTTCCTGAAAAAAGTAACTACCATCTTCCTATTCATGGTTATTACACTTTATCAACCTGTCAACGTGCTGTTGTGTCCCCATTCATATTCATCAACATTATCGTCCCTCTTTTCACAGGTTCATAGATTGAGAATATAATTTCCAGATTCATGGTTTTCCATGATTACATTTGTAATATGTTATTCCTCCTCTTACTTGTCATCCTACCCCAGAACTCTCTCTCTCTCTCTCTCTCTCTCTCTACGAATTAATTTAATCATCACTATCAAATGCTAATGTGCTAACAAGCACATCGAGTTGAATGTGATAATTGAAATACTTTTGTTTTAATGATAAAATAAAAGACAAATTAGTTTACACTCTCAAGTCAACATATGATTCTTGTTGCTATTCAAATAATAATTGTACTTGACTTTTATCATTATTATTAATAACATCACCATAATCACCGTCATCATCATCTCTCTCTCTCATTAACATTGAGCAGAAATCAATTAAAGTCTATGACAAAAAAATCACTTCCTTATAAAGCAAAATAAAACAGAAAAAATGAAAAAATTTGCGGGAAAATCAACTATTTAAAATTCAAATGTAACAATTTGATTGTTGTTACACAAAAGGAGCATGATTTTAGCTAAGTGTCAGTTGAAAGTTGATTGTGATGATAAGATTATGGATTAGATGGTAAGTGAGAGTGAAATATTGAATTACTATTAACCAGGGAGCTTTTAATTAACTTACATCATATTTCATGGGCTCATGAAGTTCATCAATTGTGGGTCGAGTTGACCTGATACCTAATTCACGATAATAATTTTCCATCCTTGGAATTGATTCATGATTAATGGTTGTATAAACTTGAAGATTATTAGTTGATTCTGTTTGTAAAGTTGAAAGGTTATCAATGTCATTGTTGACATTATTACGACGAAGGTAAGAAGGGAAGATGATTGATGATTTACGATTTTTAGGTGGAACCACAGGATTGGACATTGAAAGTATCGATGGTGCTGGTGAAGGTGGAACCGAACCACAGTCACCAGTAAATGCTGGATTCTCATATCCACCAGGGTCAACATTCACCGCATTAAGGTCAAGGTTAGTGATACTAAATCGACCTTTATATTTGGGAATTGAGACAACAGGTTCAACTGAACCATAGGCTGGCATTTTATTATTATCTTATTTTTTTCTCTCTTTCTCTCTGTTGGATGGATTAACGATGATTGATGCTCAGATTAAAAGACAAAGAGATAAAGATTATGATATTTAACTGAGAGGGAAAAAAATTCTGGTTGATTTTCTTGTTTCTCTGCACTTGAGAAGGTCAAAAGTTTTTTTTTTTTGGGTTAATTCGTTGACGATTTGATGAAACAATTAAATCACATACACAATTTAAATCATTTACATTGATTTAACACTAATTTTACACAATTACATTTTAGTTTGATGGTTTAATTAAAAACAATGATGACACTTGATCTCAGGTAAATGAAGTAAACAAATGAAATTGATTTAGTTGATTAGTTTTTTGCTGCTGTCACAATGATGCAAATGGTGATGATTATGATGATGATGCCAGTGATTGATGCAATTGATGATTTTGTCACACTAGATTTTGAGATGATGTTTTTGACTAAGATGACAATTATTACGATGATGATAATGAGGATGATCCTCTCTCTTTACTTATCACTAGATTTTTTTGCTCTCTCTCTGTATATTTACTGATACGACCTGTTAACGATAACGAATCTATCATGAGTGTTGATACCAATGATGTTGATTAACTTTTCTCTCTTCGCCTCTCTCTCTCTGTCTCTCTCATCATCTCACTCACTTTCAATCTCAAAGTCTCACTTTTTTATCATCATCGTCATTTTCCCACCCCCTTTTTAAATCATTCCTTTGTTTTAGTCTTTCCTTTCTCACTTTTCCCCCGTTTCACTTTTTTTCTCTCTCCCTTCATTTCTTCATCTCACTCACAAATATTGTGCTCCCCCTTATGCATTTACAATCTCTCCCTGAAATCTGAATTGACAATTGACTGAGTTAGTGAGCTAGTGAGTGAGTCTATTTTGATATCAACAATGATGATTATTACCATTTGAATGACACAAATATATGACATAAAAAGAGATTGAATCTCCCCCTCTCTCTCACACACACATACACAAATTCCCACTCTCACTTTTCATCTCCCCTTATCTCTCTCTCTCTCTCATAAACTATGCAAATCATCCCATAGATTTTGCTCCCTCTCCTTTTCCTCCCTCTTGTCTTGATGATGATAAACAACAATAAACCCAATTGCAAAAGGGCAAGACATTGTTTCCGTTTACATGTGTAAATGTATTTTCTTGCTTTATTTTTGATAAATTGGTCAACAATCAACAAAAAACCATCATGAATATGATTCTCAATTCTTGCAACAGAAGAAAAAAATTTAACTTGATTATTTCAATCAACCTTGTGCTAGTAATATGATTGCCTAACATTTATCATAATTTGTTGAACTATTGTTACTCATGGTGAGTAATTTTCTTCATGTCTCTCTCTCTCACTCACTCACTCAACCCCCTTTTCTGGTCAATTTTTCATGAAAGAAATTCAGTAGAAATAGAGAGAGAAAAAATCTCTCAGAACTTTCGTAGCAACAAAACAGTTGAAAAAATCCTAATGTTCAGGTAACATGATGAAAATAATCACAAATTTAAGCTGAAATTGAATCTCTTTAATTTTTGTTTCTTCGTCTTTTTCAAAATCGAGAAAAGAAAACTTCAAATGAAATGAAATTAACCTTTTCCCATGAAGTTTCATCATGAATTCATTTATATATATACTTATGATCTGGTGCGTGTGCTGATTGTTTCGAGTGTTAATTAAAAACAACAACAACAACAACAACAATTTGTCATTAATGTAATTGCAATATTTACTTGTCAATGTAAACAAGTAAACAATGTTACCTGACAACATTATAACAAATATATAAAATTACTGATTAACTCAATGATATTGCAATGGGTTTTGTTGTTTCTTGCTGTTTGTTAATTGAAACACAACATAATCATTATCATGGAACTCAATAAGCCCTGAAGATATCATGATGAACCAAAAAAAAAATCAGCAGCAAATAACAACAAGATAAAACAATAAAAGGGAAGCGGAAATAGTGATACTAAACAACTAATTTTCTTATCAAAGATTGTACCTGGTATCAGGTAAATCTAATCAGTTTCAAACATTGAATCAAATACTTATCAAAATCATCAACTTAATCATCAATCACAATCATTATCAGAATCATTAACTATCAGAAAACAATTAAATCGATATTTTGTTTTTCTTAATGTGATAACTTTTAGAGTAAAGTTTTTATTATGTTATAATAACATGGAGACAATAATTAAATTGAAGATAATTAATGTTGCATAATCGTTAATTTATTGTTTATGATTAACTTAAATTGTCAACTTGTGGAAATTGTTTATTTATGTATTTGGGTGAAAATATCAATCATATGAACTCAAGTTGATTCATGAATAATATTCAATTGAAATTCATGAATGAAACTGTTTTTCTCTTCATCTTTTACTATTAATAAACTTACTACTCACTCTACTTACTACAGATTAACACCGTCATCATCACCACCACCATGATCCTTGATCACTATCAGAACTTTATCCTCCTCAGTTGAAAGATTCAAGGAAATTGTTTATCATGACAAATTGAAAATGTCCTCATGTCAATGGGTTTTTTTTTCATTCTCACTTTTGTCTATCAATACAATTAACATCTAATTGTTAATGTTAATTTGATTCAGTTCTCTGTTTTTAATTGTGGTTAGTTAAAAATGAAAGTAACTTATTGTAATAAATGAAAACAATCATTTAATTTGATCATGAAAAATATTTTCTTTCCTTGGATATCATTTGATGGGAATTGTTTTTATTCCAATCAACTAATTAATTAATTATTTCTCTTCAATCGTCTTAATTGTTTTCTCATGCAATCAATTACAATTTATTTATATGTACCTTAATTGTTTGTGTTTAACTGATTCAATTAGTTGATTTAACAGAGAGAGAGAGAGAGAGAGAGAGAGAGAGAGAGAGAGACTTTCTTCAATTTCAGATTCTAATCCAGAATTCAATGAAACATGATGATAATGATGATCTCTCTTTAGGCTACCTTAATAATCAATTTTAATTATAAGTTTCAAACAATTAACATATCATTAATTAACCCACGATAATTAGATTTGATTGATTAATTTTCCAAGAGACATTTATTTAAATTAAACTTTTTCTTTATTCATCTTGATTGACCAAAGGCACAATTGGTCATTTCCATCAGAAAATGAGTAAAATAATTTTTTAGCTTGATCATTACCGAGAGATTAACTCATAAGTATAAAACAATAAATCACATCGAACACTAGAAATGACCTGATCTTTGAAAATATCATGATAACGAACAGAATTGAGACTTGATAGAACAAAATTTCCAAATCGAACAATAATAATAACAATTCTAGAAAAGCAGAGAGAGAGAGAGAGAGAGAGAGAGAGAGAGAGTCAAAAGCGAAAGAAAATAGAACTTTTTTTCGAGTCGAATCAATTCTTTCCTTTTATCATCCAGTTTCTCCCGAAATTTTGTTCTCATTTTATTCCTTTACTTTCATTCTTTTCAGTTCAGTTCTCATCTGTAACCCTGATCATCACCATCACCATCAGCATCCTCATCATTTCACCTCAACACAAAATCCAACAGTTGGAAATGAAAAATTGAAATCAAGTTAACCATAAATAATAATCAACCATGAACAAAATGAGTTCATTGATTAATTGTTACAATAAACAGTTAACAGTAAATGAATTAACCATTAATGAGAAACATAGTAAAAGTAAATCAATCAATTAGCAAATAATCATAATTGTTGGTGAACAAAAGTACAACCAAATTATAATAATAAGTGTTCATTTAAAACGCAACATCATGATCACAATTGATTAATTGTTTATTACCTTAAATTAAATTTCCAATTGAAAGTTTGTATTTACCTCCAATGAAAACTTACCACCATCACCAAGAACAACAACAACAACAACAACCATTGAAAAAACCACCGGTGGTAGAAAAGTGAAAAGGGTAGAAAAAGAAAGTGAATTGTCCACTTTCACCCTTGACCTTTACTACTTAGTGGACATTGAAAAAGAAACAGTGTAAAGTGTTATGTGTGTGTATAGATGGAAAAGTAATTAGTAGTAAAAGTGATTGGAAAAATTTTCTCTCTCTCTCTCGAATCAATATTGATAATTATGGATAACGATGAGTTAATATTGAATGGATCCATTGAATGGAGTGATATTGACGTTACTTCATTTGAACAGGTAGTTTCAACACCTAAAGCTTTATTAATGATCGTTAGTTTGACCACAGTGACAATATTGACCATAGTAGGTAATGTTATGGTAATTATATCAATATTTTCTTACCGGCCATTGAAAAATGTTCAAAACATGTTCCTTGTTAGTCTGGCATCAGCTGATATTGCGGTTGCAGTGATTGTAATGCCTTTTAGTATAGTTGATATGTTACTTGACCGTTGGATATTTGGTACTTTCTTATGTGAAATGTGGTTAACATCCGATGTACTTTTATGTACAGCATCAATTTTAAACCTTTGTGCCATTGCCCTTGACCGTTATTGGGCAATTTACGATCCAATCAATTATGCTCAACGTCGGACAGTTCGAGCAGTTCTGTGTAAAATAGCGGCAATATGGATTATCTCAGGTATCATATCGATTCCACCAATTTTCGGCTGGAATGATTGGCCTGATTCTTTTGACGGTGATACACCTTGTAAATACAGTGAACATATTGGTTATGTTATTTACTCGGCTTCCGGATCATTTTATGTTCCCCTTGTAATTATGTCCGTTGTTTATTATAAAATTTACAAGGCAACACGAAAGCGACTTCGTGAACGTGCCAATGTACCTAATCAATCAATTGGACTTCATTCAACAACAACCGGAACAACTTCAGTTGGTACAACGATAACGGGAGGTTTGGGTGGTGGTGGTATTGTTACAGTAGGAACAAGTCCAGGGACCATGGTGGCTTCGAGTGATACTTTGAATAAAAATTCACGTACTATTAATAATAATAATAATAATAATATTCGATATGAAGGAGGAAATGATTCATCTTCACAATCATCATCTCCGATACTTCATCAAGATAATCAGCATCACCAGAATGCAGATAAATATATTACAATGGACGATTCATCAAGAACAGAATCAGGAACTGGTGATCCAGGAGGAGGAGGCGGTGGTGGTAATGGGAGTATTGCTGTTGGTGGTGGTGGTGGTGGAAATAATTTACCACCAAAGATTTCAATTAAAAGCAAGAAGGGTTCTACTGGTGGTGGTAAAAAGAGCGGTAGTAAATCGGGTGGTTCAATGACAAACACTGTGGCCAAATTTTGGGAGGAAAAGCAAAGAATCAGTTTATCAAAGGAAAGACGTGCAGCACGTATTCTGGGTGTGGTAATGGGTGTATTCACATTCTGTTGGTTACCTTTTTTCATAATGTACCTGGTGATACCTTTTTATCCTGATGTTTCCTTTGAGGTTCGTGCTTTCATCACTTGGTTAGGATATTTCAATTCTGCTCTAAATCCAGTAATTTACACCATTTTCAATGTCGATTTTAGAAGAGCCTTTGCCCGACAATTAAGATGCTCCACTCGAGGTGACTGACAAAAGGCCATAAACATAAATCCATTTTAAAGGTACATAGATAAAGAATTGATTTATTAAGATTAGTATTTTTCTTTTCGAAACTTTTTCTTGTTCTTTTAGAATTGAAACAAGTTCGAAACAAAAAAATAATAGTAAACAACTTTTTTTCTCATACTTGATCATCGATTATTCAATTGTTACTATTACTTTTTAGAGCTACAAATGAACCATCAACAATCAACACTGATCACTGAATGGAGAGATGGCTTAAAACTGTTTGCTAATCAACCAGAAACAAAGGTGCTGATATTTTTTGATGATATAAAGATCATCATGAAAGAAAAACCCTTTAGCATGATACTCATGATACCGATAATGATGATATATGAATGTTATATATAAATAAGTGTAAATATAAAAACAATGTTAACTCACCTGAACTTTTTTCTCCCTCCCTGTATATATATATTATGATAAGAATATTATTATTATTATTATTATTATTATTATTATTACATGATTGTTATCATGAAGTTTATGATAACAGCAAAAAAAAGTATATACAACTCAATCAACTTTGTCTTCTTCATTGTTGCCTATGTGTTTTTTTATTACAGTTCAAGTTGATGAAATGAACTTTTCATTGAATCACCGTGATAATCTCTGAATGATTCTGAGGCAAAAATAACCAGCAAAAGGGATCAAAAGTTTTCCTCATTTTCAACTTTTCCATGAAATCAAATATTTTCTCATGTATTTCCAATGGTAAGAACTTTTCTCTTCTTCTTCTTCATTTTAAATTATTATTATTATTTCTCATGTAACTCAACTTTATGAGGCTCTTATCATGATGATGATGAGGATCATGTTGTGTCTTCCTCTGTTGAGTGTAATTGTAACATGGGAATTGAAATTTTCGTTTATCTTTTTCTTCATCTTCTTCTGATGGAAAGGCAAAGTTTATTTGTGATTATCATAAATGTCTTTAAGTTGAGATATTATTTGGAGAAAAGTTCTGGAACTGTTGAGTTTTTCTCTCTGTCAGATTTGAGATGAGCCCATTTCTTTTTTTTCCAACTAAATTGTTTGATTATTTATCTTGATTATCAGCTGATGTTTAACTGTATACATCAGTCTTGTCATATCTAATGCTAATCGTACATATTTATCATCTTTCTTATCTGGAATGATAATCTTTTCCAAGATGATGATTAAGATTATGATGATATGTACTTGTCAACAGTAACATTTATCTTCAACCACATCACAACTGAATTATCATGGCGATGAAGTTTCCAGGATAGAAGACACCAAATTGACTTTATTTAATAAGAGAGAAAGAGCTCATCAGTCTCAGTCTCAGTCTCATCATCATCTTCATCTTCATCTTCATCTTCAGGGTAACCTTTTACATTACCTTTTTTATATAACCAAGTAGATGATGAAGATAATCAACTTGTTCAGGGGTTAACATCATTCACTTATCATCAACTTGAGAGTCACATCAGAACTTTTTGATACATGTATATACCTGAATTTTTCTTCCCCTGAAGTTGTGAGATAAATTAACGAGTTTCAGTTATTCCATATTACTATTTGTATAAATCAGCAATTCTAATGATATTATAATCGTTTTAATCGGTGTAACTGTTGATAATCTTTGATATTTAATCATGATAATGATTTGCTTTCATGATGAAAATGAAGATAATTTTAAATGATTTTCGTGTAGTTAATTCAGTTTCATTTCAATTTGAGTTGGAAAATGATGGATAATATTGGAACCATGTGAGTAAAATGTTTTCTTTTTCATTCAAAAAAAAAGATAATGATAAAAACGAAACTTTTTCTTCCATCTCTATGGGGATAATATGGTGAAACTGAATTATTTCAATTCGAATTTGAACTTTTTTTCATTTCTTTTTAGCTCTATCTGTCTAAAAGAATGAACAAAAAAAGCTTTCATGAAGGGTTAGCTTTATCATGAAGATCAGCAACATTCTGAATAAAATGTTATCTCATCTGTTAACTATGAATATAATATTTCCAACCAGCTAAGTGTTCAGTTAATTGAACGATTTTGGTGTAAACATATTTTCAGGGTGAATAACATGAGACTCAAGATATCCAATTTTGAGTAACTTATTCCGAGGAAATCAGTAAAAGAAGATCAAATTAATTGTCACCAATTCATTTTTATAAGTGAGCTTGGATTATCATGATGTTATTATCAAGTAATATTATCAATATACTTTAATACCATGCTTATTGGTGTGAGAGAGAGAGCGGGAAAGATATATTGGTAGAACTTTTTTCCTTAGAGAAGAAAAAAAAAGGATTTTCTAGGTTAAGGAGGAATCGGAACATGAACTTTTATCTCATCGTTTCATGATGATATTGATATAGCAAAGATGAGGATGATGGAAAGATGATAAATATCACAAGGAATGATATTGTTAAGCTCATCAGATCTGTTGATTGTGAGATAACAGATTCGCCAAGAAGATCTCATGAGGGATCAGGTATTCTCTATTAACAAGCACCAAAAATGAGAGAGAGAGAGAGAGAGAGAGAGAGAGAGAGAGATGAAAAGGAGCAGGGATTAAATGAGAGATTCTTTTTTTTGTTCCGAGTTCGATGAGATAGAATAGAACAAAAAGAAATTCTGAATCGAATAAGAAGCAAAATAAGTGGGTGGTAATCGAAAGAAGGTTAAAAGCTTAACTGAAATCGATGAACTTCCGTTTAAGAATTTATCATATTTACTACACTTGGAACCCTTTAACTTTCCTGGTCATCTTTTCATTTGCTTCAAGGTTTCACAGGTTCATATGAACTTTACCCTGTTTTAATGTGAGACAATATTTTCCCTCAGTATAAAAGTATTCAATGGAAAAATATTGAAGCATTAAACCTTCAAGGCAATTGAATTATAATTGAATCATAGATGAAACTGTGGATAGAAGTTTGAAATTTCCGAATGAACGAAAAAAAAATTCTACAAAATTCTCTTTCAAGTTTACTCTCTAAATTTTTCATCCCTCATCATCATCATCATCATCATCTCTCTCTCTCTCTCTCTCTCTCTCTCTCTCTTTCTATCTTGTATAAACATACCATCTGAATTTACTTTTCCGGAACTATTATTATCGATAACCTTAGAATATAAACTTACCCTGAAACTTTTGATTTCGTCTTTTTTTCTCATCATCATCATCCTGATGAGAAAGTAAAAACTTTGCTCATGCTAAAAACAAAAACCTTCATCATATTAGTAAACATACAATAAACAAGAGAGAAGAAAAATTCACTAAATCATCATCATGATGCTCATGGTGATTCAGAACTTTTGAAACCCTGATTGGTTTTGGATGAACATGCATGAAACTAAAGGAAATATTTTCCCTCTCCATGAGGAAAACATTAAATATCACAACAAGAAACTGATTAATATCAATAGATGATGAAAAGAAACAGTCGATTCCCTAAAAAACCAATACATGATACCATGAATATCATGGATATGTAATTTTATCCTCAGTGGATTTTCAATTCTCACTCCCTGAGACTGATAACATTATCTCAGGGTGTGTATCTAAAAAAAGGGTAGTGGTGAAAAGTATACACAAGAGTAACATTAAATTAATGATCTACCCATTAACCGATAGTTAACTGTACATTATTAATCACCTTTTTATCAGTTTCCATGGTAAAAGATGAAAGAGAAAAAGTTTCGTTAACTTTAATCTCAAGATGCTAAAGATAATCATGCTAATCATGTACTAGTATATATTGAATAAGAGAATCGAAGAAAAAAGAGAAAAGTTCATTCAGATAATTCTGAAAATCGAAACTTTTTTCTCTCTCTTTGAGAGAAAAGAAGCAAAAAAGTTATTCTATTTCTTTGTTTTTCTGTACTCTTTCCTTTTCTTTTACATAATTGATTCGAATTGTTCCAATTTTTCCACCCTGAAAATTACCCTGTTAATCTGGAGATAGAAAATGGAAACTTTATTTTGTTTCGATAATTCCGAGCTATTTATATGAATTGTTGTTTCTTTTCCTCTTGTTTATTATACAAAATCAAACCTCAAGATCTTTCATTCGTAGTTACCTTTTCTTCAGGTAAAATTGGAGAGATTTTGTTTACCATGAATTTCATTAGAAATTATTATTAACATTTTGCTTTGATTCTTTCGTTTTCATGGTAAATCTGAAAATCAATAGGAATAAAAATGAATTATCATTCATGTTCAATATAATAGTAATTCAGAAAAATACTGAAAAGGGTAAAAAAGATAAGATTATTTTTTCCCTGATTCCCTTGGTTACTCATCTTTATTTGGCTTTGAATCCTCTTTTCCAAGAGTTATCATGAATTATCATTGTTATTGCTGAACTTTTATTGTTACTTATCATGTATGTTCATTATTATTGAACAGCTTACCTTTTTCTGATTGAACATGTTAATATAATTGTCTTCATCAATAGTTATCTCTTTAATTCTGATTCAATGAATTCAATCATTTAACTGCCAATTAATAGTAAACATGGTAATGTGAATATAATTTTATTATACAAATTGATTGCAGATAAACTGAATTCATGGATGAATATGTTTTAATTGTTGATATTGTTTCAATTGTCTGTGTAAGGAAATTGTATTGAATACTAAATTAGAGAGAGAGAGAGAGAGAGAGAGAGAGAGAGAGAGAGAGAGAGAGACAAATAATACAATTGATGATTTTAATCATTGTTTGTATTCATTTTCAATGTTGTATGTGATTCAATCTTTGATTGTATCAGTTTGATTCAATTGTTAGATTTACAATAGGATTGTAACAATTTGGCCAATCAATATTGATGATGATGCTTTGATAAAATCTTGTTAAGATTGAGCAAGTAAAGGGTTACCTGTAGAGATGAAGATAAACTTGTCAGAATTTGATATTGAAAGAGATTTTTTTGCTCGACTAAAGAGAGATGATGATGGTGATGAAGATAATTCTCAGAGAGTGAAGGATAAATTGAATAGGAAAAAGTTTTCAATGAAAGATACGGAAGACTTGATGATCATCACCATGATCATCATGATAAAGGATACAAATAAAAAGTGATTACTCTCAATTCTGAAAACAATATAATACATTGAAAATATCACCATGAGTTTATCTTGTGAGTTTGCTTGACAAAGTCCATAGGGTGTGTGTCAATCTTATTGTTATTATTTCTTTTTTTTCTCACTCCAACTCTCAATGTAAATAGACACACCTCGTGATTCCAATATGTCTGCTATTTCTCTTCCTCTCTGTCTTAATCACCATCTTCCTTTTTCAGTAGATTCTAGATTAACTTTGATCATTGAAAATAAGAACTTCTCTCTCTCTCTCTCTCTCATCTTCTATTCAGACTCAATTGAAACATTGATAAGTTTTTCAAGGCGTGAAAATTGCCACTTCCTTCTTCAGCAATTGAACTGAATTTCCTACACTCAGCAGAG